GAGGCTCACAGGAGAGGAAAAGGCTGCTGGATCTGTGTGGATGTAGATACAGCCTCTGAGTGGGGAGAGATTAAATGGGCTGGTGTGCAATCTGTTTGGGAAAGAGATGGCTCAGGTGGGATGTCGCAGAGGAAAGTTATGAACAACACAGAAAAAGTTAATAGGGAGCAATTATCTGCTGCTTCTCAGCGCAGAAGGGTTTGGGACAGTGCACTAAATTAATTTGTGTAATTTAAGAAGAAGCAAAGGGCAGCTTTTTTTTCATGCACTCACGATTAAACTGTGGAACTAGTAATTATAGGGTGCTACAATCATAAAGAGGTTCAAAGGCAATTAAACTAATAGAGGGAAGAAACACACTTCTGGGGCCAATCTACAGTGATGTGGATGCTGTGTGGGTGAGAGCAGAGGAGCCAGGCTGCAGGTGTGCGTTCCTTCCTCAGGCATTTACTGACAGCCACTGCCAGAGATGAAAACCTGAATGACTCCACAGCCTAGCCCACCACAGTCAAGTTTTCTGGTTTATATTATGAGTTTTCCCATAGTTCCAACCCTGGCCACTCCAGAGCCTCTGGAGTGGGAGAGTCACTCCAGGAGGAGAGGGCAGTCACATCCCACAGCAAAAAAAAAAAAGACAAACCAAAAACCAAAAATGCAGGCTACAGTGCTGGGCAGGCAGCAATGCTTGGCAGTAATTAGTACAGATCATATAAATACAAAATCATTTGCTTCTAAACACATTACTAATGGCCAAAAGAAAGTTCACCTAATGGCCAAAAGAAAACAAAACATAATTAAGTAAATTATGTGCATCTCTGTGTTTTTGAGGCTTTCTGAAGAAGAGTGGGGGGGGGAAAGATGCTTAAGAGCTTGAATTTTCAGTTCCAGATAATTAAGTTCTGCATTGGAGGCTTATTAAAATATATTGCCCAGGAGACCAGACAGACTGTGAGATGGCTGGGTACAAAACTTTTAGAGATAAAGAGAATAAAGCTGCAAGGCCTAAATGACCTTTTATTATTCCTGAATACCTTATGATGTTGGGAAATGAAGACTGTGAAACAGATGGAGCTGTTAACGAGTTCAGGCAACAACAAGACATATGCTCAGAAAGGCTGCAGCAAAAAAGCTCGAATTTCATGTTAAAAACTGTGGGTCAGTTAAGATCAGTCAAATGTAGTAGGGAAAAATCAAAGTATCATAACTTTTTATTATTTTTAAAAGCCAGAAAGGCTTCTCTCCAAATGAACTGCCAGAGGATACTCCAGCTGCCCCTGGTGGGCAGGATAAGCTGGGGATATCTCAGGAGAATGGACCTGAAACTGGTCTATACCAGAGCTACTTACTGTGGTTTATGCCTAAATAAGTGAATTGAATCATTCAGCAGAATTCAATCAAATCCAGCACAAAACAATGGATATTGCCCCCGTAGGCAGCTGTTGCTTGTGAAAAATAAAAGCACTGAGTTTTGTTTGAAAACTAAGGGCCTAGTAAGAGTTGAGATGAGGTCGTTTAGGGTGCTAGGACAGACTGTGTCAATGCTTCTTGCACGTGTCTGAGGTGCTGAACTTGGTCTGTCTCACCAAACTGCACTTGACAGAAAGGTTAGATAAGCTATCTGCTACATTTCGTACCCACCACGCACAATATAGAAATGTTAATAATTTATTACCATTTGTCATTAATATTGCAAAGTCAAGCATTCATAAGCTGGGTTGTCTGGGCAACCTTCTCTTTTGCTCTCTTGTGCACTGTATTGATGAGTTCTGTAATTACAGCAAGGCTTGCCATTATTTCTGCAGGACCCTCGGCTCGTTTGGTGCACGGAGCAGCCACGGCTCCTTTAATGAGCACAGCTCGTCAATATTTTATTTCAGCCCTGCTGTTAATTGTGTGCCTGCATCCCATTTACCAGCCCTGTTTAAACACAGTGCTGAGGGCTGACCTGCCAGGCTCCCCACTGACCTTCAAATCACATTCATGATTCCCCTGCTTTTGAACAGAGCAGCTGCTTGATCCCCACACCGACACCACAAGGACAGGGCAGGAACCTGCTCCTCTCATTGTGGGAAACTGTAATTCCAACAGAGGAAGGTCAAAACTGTTTGCTAGTTTTGAATGTCCAGCCTGGGGCCTCTGGGAGGTGAATTTTTGAGTGTGCTCAGCATTATGTGACATGAGGTACGTGCAGTGCACCCCTCTATTGCCATTAGCTGCATCTACAAGCACTCAAAATTTCTACACATCACACAGTCAAAACCAATGACCAAATAGCAAAAATATCAGGACTTGAAAATGCTGCAAGACTTGCCACATTAGGTTGAATTAAACACTCTTTCTTGTTTAAATTATGGTGTGTTTCTATCTTGTAGCTATTTTACATTATTTGAACTTTCCTTCTCTTGCACAGAATCCCATGCATTGATGTCCTGATGCTGCTTTCATGGAATAGCAAACCTTTCAGGGGTTTCAACAGAGCCAGGCTTGGCCTGAAATGAACAATATCTCATGCTCAGTTCAATTTGGTCAATAATGTCTCCTCACAATACTGGAAACAAGGATGGACTGACCCATGCAGTGACCCCTGTCCTCCTCTCATTCCCCTGCCTTCCACCACGCAGCTGAACAAATTAATACAACTTCCAGGCAACCGAGTTCAGGAAGAACAGTAAATGGTGTGTTCTCTTCCAAACCCCCAAATAATCTACATTTGTTTTGGAACACTACTATGAATCACTTTAATCTTTCCTTTCTTGAGATATTTTTTTGATTTCTTTCCATGAATTCCATCCTTCCCCAGCTGAACGTGTGCATTTGAAAACTCCTCAGAGGAGGATTTCAGTCATTTGCTTTTTGGTGAGTAATTGTGCTCATTTTCTGCCAGAAGGCAGTTAACCTTTAGAGACAGTCAATTGCCCTCTCTGTGTACCTACTGCTGCTCTTACGGGTGGTGGAAGGCTAAAACTTAATAACCTAGAAAAGATGAAGCATTAACTTCGCTCTGACAAAAAAACTCATTCTAAGTTTTAAGGCCAAAGATTTTCAAGAGAACCTAAAAGATTTGGTTCTCAGAGAACTGTTGTAGAGTTGGAAACCTGACTAACTTAGTACTTACTAAATCACAGTATGTATGGCTCAGACAGCATCTGTGACACTCTCATATTTGATTGTGATAACTATGTGAGTTTGAAGACTATTACAGGAAGATAATGTAAAATATAATGATTGTGCAGAAGTATATATCCTTTTTATCAATTAGAAAATCTTGCTTTGCTTCAGAAAAAGAGCCCTATGCACTTAAATTAAATGATGGCAATCTTTAACAAACACACCGGGAGACTGTGATTACCTATAAGCACATTAAACTCTGGATATCTTTGTAAGAATCCCATTTTAAAAGTGTTATATGCATTACATATCCAAAACAAATATTGCAACCTGATACTCTTAGAGTACTACACATGATAGCAGCCAAGGTATAAAAGATTGGGCAAACCCAGCAATAAATCTTTAACGCTTTACAAGTGAAATTCTACCCCACTTTTTGGAAGGGCTCACAGTTATGCAGGCAAGCCCCAGGTGGCCTTTGAAGATGAGAAAAAGAGGGATGCTCCTTATCTGTGCCCTTGAAGGTGGGTTTAAGCATTTCCTCTGTGTTCCTCTCTCTTCACCCTGGGGGCCACCAGGACTGGGACAAGGGGACAGAAGGAGACTGGGGGAGGGCAGAGGGTGATTAGACCCATCCAGCATCAATGATAAAGGGAGGGAAAAGAGAGGGCAGGAAAAACAGGAACGGACAAAATCCTGGTTTGGGGAGCTCCCCTCTGTCAGTCTGGGAGTCCTGACCCAGCATGGGCACAGTCAGAAATCTGGGAGCTGGTTTTGAGGGGGAGGAGGTGGGAGAGGAGGATGTTGAGGAGACACACAGGTAGAGATCTTCATCTGAAAGTCAGAGACAGAAAAATAACTAATTATGGCTTTGGGGAATGTTCTCTTTTGTTTGGCTTTTATTTTGCTCAATAGAGAAAGAGGAAAAAGGACATTTCCATTGGGTTTGGATTTAAAATGGATCTGTAAAATCATTTTTCACTTGACAGACTTGGTCTCCTGTGTAGGAAACTTTCAGAAGACAGTTTGAAAAAAAAAATAAAAACCAAAACACCAACAAACCACCAAAACAACTCAAGACAAAACCTGCTTAATATCCCCACGAGTATAAAATCCAAATAGATCTGTGTGAGAGATGCTCCTACCCCTGGCAGAGCAGGCTAATGATGATGTTCCTGTCTCAGAGAAGAGCAGATGTAAAGCTGCAGAGTGAAGGGAGTCTCTGATTCACACACTTCATTATTTCCCTGTGCCTCATGAAAAATCAGGCTCTATCTATGCCAAAGCAGGTGTTCTTTCACAGCTCCTCATCTACCCTGGTCTGATCTCAGTGTCTTCTCACCCCCCCAGCTTTGCCACCAGGTGCTTTTCCTTCTCCAGCAGCAGGAGAACAGCAAACCCCCAAACTGGCACATCCACGGCTCTTTCCTTATCCCTATTTGTAGGAAAAGGTCTCATTTCTAGAAGCTTTTGCGTGGGCTTGAATAACTTAAATACAAATTAATTCTTTTTTGAAGCGCTTGAAATTCTTAATTCCTCAAATGCTAAGAACATTTGCTGCTGAGAAATGCTTTATAGAAAAAGTTTCATACTGCAAATCCATCTGTCTGCTTAAAGGTGAAAAATTACACACATTTCTTAACAGACCCCAAATGATATGTTCTTCTGACGGGCCTATTTTCAGGTGTTTTGTGTTTTGTTGTAATCAAAATCAAAAAACTTTTATAAAATGATAACTCAGAAAATTATATTTCTGTGTCTTTTTGATTTTCCTTCAACTGACTACAAAGTCAAAATTCTTTAGGCAGTCATTATCTGGCAATTTTTAAGCAATTTCCTTGCCAAAACTAAAAAGAAATATCCCTACAAAGATACTTAAAAAGAGACAATACCTGCTTTGGTGATCACTCCATGCAAAGCCTTTGTGAGAACTGAATTTAAGCAGACATACTTGGAGCTGGAAGTCTGTCTTTGTTGAAATAAGAATGAACTGACCTGAAACAGCATTTTGGCTCCTTTTCAACCCCTCAGAAACTTAAAGGTGTAGCTCAAGGAATGTCCTGCATGAAAGAATAAAATGGAAAATTTTACAGTGCTCTGTAATTTCAGCCCATACAAAGGAGACACAGCCACTGAGCTCAGGAAAAATTATAACCCAACCTGCACATGTTATAGCATATTAACTAGGGATGACCTGATCCTGCTGGCATGGCACTTCCATGGAAACACTCTGCAAATGAAAAAAGGTAAAGGAATGAGGGGTTTTAGCAGCTAGTGCCTGGCAGAGCTGATGTCTCATGCTGTGTGATACGTGGTGGTGCCAGGTGAGCACAAACACTTCTTCCAAGAGCCCTTGTTTTCATTATTTTCATTGATCTGACAAGATTGAATTGAAAATTCAGCTTTGAGCAGTCCTAAAACTGATTATTTCAAACGGTTTAGTACATCAAGCATAGTTCCTGAATTCTTGCATGAAGTTATTCTGCACCTTTATAAGCAAATCCAGTTTTCCTTGTAACATCAGGATAAGGTGCTGTGACACATAAGACATTTTGGCCTCATGTCCCCAAGGACATATCCCTGGTCCATCCATCCCAGCCTGGGCATGGAATTCTTCTTGATGAATCCATGCTCCAGATGGGAAATTTAGTTGCTATTTAGTACATCATCTGTCTTTGCAAACCAATAAAAACACATGTATTATTTATTTATAAACACTTTCTGCTCTCTTAGATACTAAGCCAGGCAATGGGTTTCTATACTGTTCTTTTATTGAGTATGTTGTCACATTTTTTATTTTTATCAGTTGGGTTTTTCCAACTATTCCTCCTCACCCAATGCCTGGAAATTAAAAAAAAACCCCATGAAATATTTTGGTTTCTCTTAAGAAACTTCAAGTATTTCTCCAAATTCCCAGCAAATCAGGCAACAATTATTAAACACTTTTCACAAATCATAAACTATTCCAGAAAAGCTCCTTTCCTTAATACATCCATGATTTAAGAGAAGCAATTATCACTGCAAAGGCTTATTTTAGGGCTGCAGCTGTAACAGACTGAGAGCACTGTGATTTCATTAATAATCAATAAAAGAGGCAATAGAAGCCTTCCCTTTAAGCATCCTATTCATCGTGAAGGAATCTTCTAGTTTGAAGCAAAAATGCAATGCAGATGGATGATGACAACATCACTGGAAATATCTTAAGGCATTTACATATTTTTCTGATTCCAAAACCCATTAGAGAAATCAGGCACATTTTGCACTCACTTTTGAGCACTGTGAACACCAGGAATTTAATAACCAGAAATGTTCCAAGTCAGTGCTAGTGTAGCGTTAAATGCAACCTGTATTTCTCATAGTTTTTGTTTTTCCTAAGTGACAATCTTGACAAGTCTAGACAGGCTTTTTCCCCGTCATGTTCACTGAATTCCTCCCAATTTGCCACTGAAAATTTCCAGCAGCCTCCACAGCGCAGCAGCGCAGCCAAAACCAAACAGAAAATGATGTTACAAACCCTCAGTGGGGAGTGGTGGGGAAATAACTGGTTTTTACTACAGAACTCATATTTATAACTTGAAAATCTTGTTTTTTATGTGTACAAGTTAAAAAAAATCATAGTCTTTGATGGTATCAGGGAATGGTTTGCAGATGGATAGATGCTTACCTTTTCCTGCAAATGTTATGACAGTAGTGTAAGAACTGGAATATAAGAGAGATGAGGTTTTCAGGAAAGGAGGAAATAAATACCTTTTAAAACATAGGAAGAATGATGAATTACTATCTGTGGTAAAAGTTTTGTATCTGAAAGCATCTTTTGGGGTTTGGTGTTTTTCCCCCTCTACTGAGAGCAATTTTCTTTCTACAACCATTTACATTTACACCACATGTGTCAGGGAATCCTCCAACCCTCACCCTCTCTGACATTGCCAAAGACAGTAAAAATATTACCCTAAAGAGATACTCAGAACTTCTTCATGGCCTTTTGGGGTGAAAACTGTCCAAAAAAAAAATGGGGACAAAAACAGGTTTGCAGTTCTCTGTCCTGCCTTACCTACCTCTGGAAGTGACTGACACATAAAGAGGAATAAACAGAGAATCATAGAATATTCTGTGTTGGAAGAGACCCAAAAGAATCCTTTGAGTCCAACTGCTGGCCCTGAGCAGGGTAATCCCAAGAACCCCACTGTAGTGGTGTTCACAGGGGTCCCAGGATGAGGGAAGAGATGAGGATCTTGACTCCTTGTTTCAGAAGGCTGATTTATTATTTTATGATATATATTAAATGGAAATGATATATTAAAACTTCACTAAAAGAAAAGAATAAGGATTTCATCAGAAGGCTTGCAAGGAATAGAAAGGAATGGCATGATAAAATCTTGTGACTGCTCACAGCTTCGACACAGGTGGCTTGTCACAGACATCTTTTATGGAAAATCCTTTCCTTAGGATTTTTCCTCCTGAGAAGCTGAGAGGCCTCAGGAACAAAATGTAAATATTTATTATCTGCTGCTGTGGAATGCAACAGGTGCATCTGTGATTGGTCCATGTGGTTGTTTCTAATTAATGGCCAATCACAGTCAGCTGGCTGGGACAGAGAGCCAAGCCACAAACCCTTTTTATCATTCTTTCTTTTTCTATTCTTAGCTAGCCTTCTGATGAAATCCTTTCTTCTATTCTTTTATTATAGTTTTAATGTAATATATATCATAAAATAATAAATCAAGCCTCCTGAAACATGGAGTCAGATCCTCTTCCCTCATCCTAAGACCCCTGTGAACACCATCACAGAGGCTGTAATTGGTCATCAGGTAAAAACAATTTCACATGCAGGGTAAAGAATTCTCCAAATCACATTCCAAAGCAGCAAAACATGGAGAAGCTAAAACTTCTCAGCTTCTCAGGAGAAAAAATCCTGGCTAAAGGATTTTTCATAAAATATGTCTGTGACACCCCACATGTACCAGCACAGAGGATGGAGGAGGACGATGCCCTGTGCAGTCTCTGTGTCCTTGAGCAGACCCAGCTGAGCTGAATGCTCAGGGCTTTGCACAGAGGAGCCTCCAGCATCTCCTGGAGCCCCCCACCAGCCTGGTCCCCATCAGACAGCAGGGAGCAGGGCTGGTATGGCACAGCCACCCTGGCTCAGCTCCTGCAGAAACAGCCAGGGCAAGCAGGAGGAACAGCACTCCAACCAACACAGCCTTCCCTCACAGGGAGGTCAATGGAGAAAAAGACTAAGGGATCACTTTGGTTGTCAAAAGTGCCATCTTTTAATGAAAATGGCAAGCACAAAGTCACTTATTTTTCGTGTATTACACGGCAACACTTGTCTCGCAGTCAAGTATCGCAGGCATGCTTTCAGCAGGGCTTTTAATGAGGTGCTTGATCCTTATGTAAAATCAGCACCAGAGCCCTTATCCAGCAGGAACTAACAAGGAGCTATAAATGGCCCAATTACCAGACTGAAATGTCATTCACACATTTGTTATCTCCCACACCAACAAGGAAAAATAACACAGAGACACAGTAGCTGAAGGGGAATTGAAATTACTGTTGATTGAACTAGAACTTGTGAAGCTCTTCATGCAATTCAAAGCTTTAAAATTTAATGTGAGCTATATTTAGTTTCAAACATTAGCTGGGTTCATTGATATTTTGTTTTAGCCTTGCCAAAAGTCACAATATCCTTATTAACAATGTTAGCAGCTTTGAGTGTTGCCTACATGATGATGAGCTCTCAGAAGTTCTCTAGAGAAGTTACTTTGGGAGCTGCAGCCCTCAGCACAGAGGATTTCTGGGACATGTAGTCTTTGAGGTCAAATGCTCTTTCTTCAAGTGAGCATCACTTTCATGTGAGGCATGATACCTGAAGAAGGGATTTTTCATGCTTGATTTTTTAAACTGAATTTTTCATCTTAATCATTGTGTTGCCAAATCATACGCTGGTTAACTTTGCAGAACAGATGTTAATCCCATATTATTTAGATCTTTATATTGGCAGTACTATAATAGTAGAGCAACTAAATAATAAAATTATAGAATGGTTTGGATTGGGAGGGATCTTAAAGCTCATCTTCTCCTGACTGCCTGCCATGGACAGGGACACCTCCCACTAGACCAGGTTGCTCTGAGCTCTATCCAGCCTGGTTTTGAACGCTTAGAGGGATGGAGCATCCACCACTTCTGTGGGTGAACAGTTCCAGAGCTTTACCAGCCTCACAGTAAATAATAATAAATACAAATTTCCCTGAAAGAAGAGAGCTGCTGATAACATAATAGTCTTTAATACTACAATATAATTTTAATAATATGAGCTCTGTCAGGCAGTGGGAATGCCTTGGCCATGGCACAGCAACCCTCAGCCGTCTTCCCGTTTCACAGGCACATCATCTAATCCAAGCAGAGCTCTGAAATTAAAGTTTCCCACTTCAAGCTAGCACAGGCAGCTCCCAGCACGCAGACATCATCTAAATCCCTCCCTGCTTTCTACAAAAATAAAGTTGTTTTTCCTCCTTCCTTTCGTGTGAGCTGTGCTGTTGCTGTGGGACACCTGGCTCCATGACCAAAGGGGATGCTGTGATCCCTACAAAGCCCTTTGGATGAAACAGAGCTGAATGTCTCATTGCTGAGGTGCTCAGGGAAGATACAGGGCACGCTCAGATCCCAGCACTGTCACCCTTAAAAAGCCTGCTAAGGAAAAGGAAGAGTTTTGCATTCCCCCTCTCACTTGGAGCTGTCAGTAAATTCACTAATTGGGGCTGTGAAATTGCTCATTTCTGGTGTTGTCTGGAAGGCAAACAAGGGATGGGGATCAGGAGATGGAATGGAGGGTGCAGGTTTGAGACCCCCTCAGTTCTCACACAGGTGCAGATCACACCTTTGCAGTTTATCTCTGTTGACTCCCAGCCAAGAATTTTCAAGCAGATTTAAATAAATGGAGTTAAATTTGCTTGCAGGAGCATGCCTATATTGCACTTTAAATAAAAACAAATTATGGTAATGTGTGTTGCTAAATGCAGAGAGTTATAAGCACTGAAAAGAATAAACATGTCTT